GACCGTCACGCGCGTCTTCCCGTTTCTGCCAACTTCAAGCCAACTTCATTTTTCAAGTGAATCAGGATCCTACGGCTTGCGGGTCAGCGGAGCCTCTCTCTGTGGGGTTCAGAGTGGTCCCTATCCGCTTCCGACTCAATATTCAAGCCCCACACGAAGTCAACAAATTGGTCGCCACTTCGAGTGACTCAAAATGCTGGCGAAACCTTCCTTCTAGTCCCCAGTCTTCGCGTCTTCGCCGCTCACTCTAACTATTCTCCGACTCGGAGTCGCGCATCATCCAGTTTTGTGCGCCGCTCCTTCTTCTGCCTCGAGAAGTGCAGATTGTGATGATCACTCAAATTTGAAGCTCCGTCTAAATTTCGCTCTCGGGTTCCCAAGCTGCCTCAGGCTCCTTCTCCTCTTCTCCAAGTCGGTGTCTATTCTAGCGGGGTACGTTGAATACTGTCTCAGACTCTTCTACTGGTCGCCGAATTCGAATAACGCTTTTGTGTTTGTCATTCTCCAAATTATTCTCTCTCCGTGTCTTGGGACTCGGGACGACCTGACGAGATGATATGCGAACATCATCGGGGGTCTGATCGCTTCGAGCCTTCCTCCTCGCCGTCCGCTGATCTCTTCTGCCGGGAACGCGCAGATGCACCATCATCGACACCTATCGACTGAGATATTCTTGTCCGCAAGCGAGCTGCGATGCTACCCAATGACCATCGCCTCAGTCGACCTTCTATACGTCCCGGCGATTCAACGAGTACCCAGGTAAGCGTCGAGTCAAGTCTCTCCAATTCACTTCAAGTCTTATCCGTTGATCATGAATGTCAATACAATCCCAGCCTTATCCCGGCCGTTGATCATGACTGTCAATAATACCCAGGAAACCTACGCGGCGATCCGCTTCCGATGCCCGTCCCCGGTCCTGCTCCTTGAAACACCGACGATCATTCCTTGCAATACGCCGTGGGTAAGAAACAGATAGTATGTTCGGCAACATGGACGTCTGCCGAAGTGCCAAAGAGTCATCTTGTCCTAGTCCTTGCAACGAGCTCTGCCAGCAAGCCAGTCTGTCGTCCTCTCCTTATCGATCTCTCTACTCATCTCATTAAGTAAGTCACGGTGATCCTAGGCTCAACCAGTGCCAAACCACGCGCCGCCGCTTCCCTCCCCACGGCACCTCTTATTGTTCTTGTTCTCCCTCGTGCTCGCGTTGACATGCGATCGCATTACCACTCCCCTGGTCCGTAACTTTATTCCTAATCAACATATGGGCGTCTATGGGTGACGTTTTGTAGGTCCCATATCTAGATCTCCCTATGCTCATTGGCTGAGAACCCTGTTTGCTGATCATGTAAGCCGGAAACATCCGCCTTGTGTTCTGTTTTTCCTTACTTCAGTTGATTCTTTGATCTCGCCCTCGGTCCGTGCGCCTCTGTATAAAAGCGCTCGAGTCTTGACTCTTGTTCTAGTTCGCTCTTTGCCCCACAACGCAACCATCGCAATGCGAGTCAAACACATTACCAACCCCGAGCCATGGTACGACGTCAAGCAGGAGCGCACCACACACGACTCTTCCGGCTCTGCCGCTTTTGTGCCAGAGCCCGTGGTTGACAACAACAACAACTCGCCGTCGAGCTCGAGCTCCACACCTACTCTAACCATGGACGATGTCCTCGTCGATTTCGGCGACGACGACTATGTGTACGCGAATTATACCCCGTCGTCGAGCAACGACTGCCCTTTACCTCCCACCTCCCCTCTTCTCTTTTGTGGCGCCGTCTCTCCACTGCCTTCCTGCGCGGCGCCAGCAAGCGTACTCGATGAACTCGATTTCACCTCCCCGAAGATCATTCCTCTTCCCCAGCACGACATTCTCAGTGTGGCGCCAGATACCCAGGATATTTTCGATGACACGGTGCGTCGGCCTTCATTTAGAAGTCGATATCGAACACTCATTCGAACTACTCCATAGCTCGACGCTCTCGAGCGCAGCCCACCATTTACGTATATACCCCTCCCCACCGATACTCTAGACGCCACATCGGACAATCTCGACGACGGCCCTACCTCGTTCATCCCTGGGATCTATTACCCCTACGAATTCTCCCCCTCCTCCTCGTCGGGCTACTTCGAAGCCGCCGTGCCCTCTTCTCCACCACCTACACCCCAAAATGAAATTCAACCCCAACCACAACACCTCCAACCAATCCAACCGCCTCTCCCCTACACCCTCCTCCACCTGCAGCACACGCCCCACGGCCTCACCGACGCCGGCCCCTACCTCCGCCGCCAACTCGGCATCCCCACACCGCACCCCATCAGCCTCTACGCCCTCCCCGATCCGCTCCCCGGCACGAAACCCCGCGCGACCCTCCCCGTGCTCATCAAGCTCGCAATCTACGGCAGCGACCAAGGCATGCTGACGCTGCAGCAGATCTGCAGCGCCATCCGAGAGCGGTTTCGCTTTTTTTGGGAGCAGTTTCATTTGGAGGGGGATGATATACTTGATGTGAGTCGTCGGCTTTGTTTTGTGGTAGTATGTATGCTGAATTGAGTTAAATCGAATGAACAGCGTTCGATACGCCACGTATTAAGCCTGAAGAGAATATTCAAAAAGATACCACGGTCTGATCAAGACCCGGGGCAGGGGTGTTATTGGGCGCTCGATGTCGATGCGGAGATCAAGTACGGACCATATAAACGCGAGCGGAAGCGCAGGTGTGTTACTCGGGCGAGTTCATCGCCTGAGTACAACTCTCCTCCTCTGCGGACGTCCGAGCCCACAGGAAAGCACGCTACCCCTTCCAGTGCTGCCACACGCAGCCTGAGGGGAACTCGGAAACTTCCCGGCCGTCCATCGAAAGCTGCCGAACTGTCAACTCCGTACTGCAAAACACGCACATCACCACGGAATGCGCGTGCGTCGACAAGTAAGGCACTCTACGCGGATGCAGAGGACAGCGAAGACGACGAGTATATACCCGGAGGCGCGACTCGTCGTCGACGACGCACAGAGCGATAGAATGAATGAATGTGAGTGGCGAATTTTGATATTCATGTCGCGAGCTCGTTTTCTGATGCAAATTTCTAGGAAATCGTTGTCTGTATTGTGCATCAAACGAACGGCTTGAATTATGAGAAGGACATTTACGCTACGCTGGTCGTAGGTATCAATGCCCTCTGGTAGGGCACCATGTGTCTCGATACCCTGGACGATGTGGCGCCGACATGTTTATTATTCATTGTGTATCGTCTAGTATCTGTTCATTCAACTCCGTCCGGTATCGGTGGTTGTACAATACTTATCTGTAGCCATTTGCCCAAATTTCCCTTTACCGTCAATCTTACGGGAAGTCTTGTAGTGTGTAGAACAAGGTGTCAATGTGCATATTCATCAATGTCGCTCACTTGGATGAACTTCGGAGATACAAATTTACAGAATTAGCACGCAGTTGATTTGTTTCTGACTAGCACATCCTCATTGATTGAACACTAATCCAGTGTATACTCGAGTATTCGCCACGACGAAATGACTCGGAGGCACATTCTGAGGCGTTCATTTTTGAGAATACTAATTCAACACTAGTACTGAGAATATAAGTTACCTACCCGTGATCTTCAAGTTTGATTTGAGCGATCACGAACCTGGCTTGAACTTGACTTTCTCCCACGTATGTCTGCTACCTCAATTGTTTTTCGCTGGCTCAAAGAAGCTCACGCGCACAGACATACCTTTTTTCAACCACAGATGGTGGCGTCCAATCGCCATGACGGCTACAGGAATGCTGATCGGTATTGTCGCGCAGTGCCTTGTATTCCGCCCGCAACGAGATCTCGTGAATGAGTCGCATCGGAGGCTATAATGCTATTGTTTTTTTTTTGTTCTCGATATCCGACGGAATCGTGGTCCGCATTTTCCGTGCGACTGTGTCCTACTTGACTTCGTATTTGACTGTAGGCAGACATTTTCAATACCAGCGACAATGAAATACAATGAACCTTCTCTCCTGCGTTGATTGTTACGCTTTTGGTTCGGCACACTCAACGATCTTCAGTTTCAACTTCCGCCGGAAGTTGCCGGATCTTTGAAACATCTGTGTCTACTTCAAGTCAAGGCCACATCATATTGAGGCATTTCAGTGATCCCGAGTAGAGCTGTCTCACTTCACTGCTTTGGGGTTGAACTTGCCCCAGATTACTCGAGGCGATTTACATAAATTGATACAATTCAAGAAATTCAACGATCTATCTTGGGAGCAGACGGAAATACTTATTTGGACCTGAAAAATCAATGATTGAGTCCATCTTCTATCAAACTAGACTGGGTCTTCTGACAACAAAGATGTCTATTTCTGCAAGTGGAACAAGGAACCTTGTGGCGGATTTTCTGCCGTGTAGAAAACACCCACGAGCTGACTCCCATGGTCAGTCTTTCCATTTTGGTATGCTCAAAGACAAAGATGCTAATCCGTGCACGCATATCCCGCCAAAGCAGCAACTACACGTGGGACTCGGATAGCGGGGGCAAAGAAATTCACTAAACATGAAGTATTCTTAAGTTGTCCACCGTGGAAGTCCTTCTCTCTGCATAAATCTGTGGGCACATCGATATATACTGTATGATTTCGATGGCAATTCAATCTGTTCTTCCTTGTCATTGAAGCTTTGAAGGTAGCCACGTCAAGGTTTAACGTCCAACTGACAGCGGGTGGGGCAGCACTTCTACAGTTCCCGAATTCTGTGGGCGCCTCATGAATTCCCTTGAATGTGCCCACGAAATTCAAGCCGTTCAGGAGAAATCCAATTTCTATAACAAAACTTGAAGAGGTGATCGCAATCCAATTGAAAATGGATGGTTGTGTTGACAGTTGTCGAATATATGCTGACACTGGACCATGAGTTCAATTAATTTTTTTGAACATTGGAGTCACGCTCCACCTGCCACATTACTTGGAGTCTACGACTCTACCACCCTGGTGGTGGTGAAACATTGCATGTGGTCCTACGCCTTGATGGTCTAGTAGCATGATACTCCCTTCGGGTAACGCCCGGTCCATTGTGGGACTTCTTTGGGAGTGGTCCTGGGTTCAATTCCCAGTCAAGGCCTTGTACATCCGCTATCTGAGGTGGGTAAAATGTCCCCACATCTTTCAGAATTGGAGGGCAGCTTTTTATTTTTTCGAGCAAGAGCAGAACCAACTCCGAAACGGGAAGTCAAATTTTGATGCCAGGACTCCGAATCACATTGAGTCTCCACGCCAACATCGAAACAAGGGCAGGTGTGACTATATGGAGTAACAAGGAGAATGGAAGTCCAGGAGGAAGAAGAAGAACAAGAAAAAAAAGCGGGGCCTTGCCGGGAATCGAACCCAGGTCACTTGCAGTTGCCTACATTTGTCCCAAAGCAAGTATCGTGCCTCTGGACCACAAGGCCTCAAGCAACATGTCGCTGGTGTGAGAACACTATATACTTGCAGTCAGAAAGTTTGTCCGGTCAATCTCCGCCTATAATAAATCGTAATGCCAGACCTAAGCGCGCTGCGGCTCAGTGGTCAGGAAGAGTCGACTATGATTCGGTGTTTGAACCTGATTCACACTCTCGGAAACAACTTATGGTTCTTGAATCATGTTGAATACTTAACGGCTGATGAAGGTAATCGCAAGCGGACTCAGATTTTCAATGAATGATAAGTACAGGATAGCACTATTGGGAGCTGCATTCATTGAACCTCCTCCCCACGTACCCGTTGCTCGAACTCATTAATATCGAGACCCTCGCGCCGCAATTCTCCAAATTTTCTCCAGACAGCGGGGCAGAAAGCTACTCTACCCTCCCACTCGGAAATACGTACCCGATTCAGCGAACAATTTTCCGAGCTTGACGGTACGTCCCCTGGACCGGAGTCTGAAACCCGCTTCCATCGAGATGCCACCATCTCGCATAAGGAGCCATCAAGCTCGTCGGTGTATTCAAATTCATAAGGCAAACCAATTCGCAGCAAAGTTAGCCTTGGGAATAGAGTCGCACATGATGTATGAGATAGCTTCATAGCTGCGACAAAAGCAGATATGAACCCGCGTTCGGCGTCCGACGATATATCCTCCAGGTCATCATCGCGGTCATAGTCGAAGTAGACATCCAGTTCAGTGAGTGAATGAGGGACGTGGCGAAGGAGCGTAGGGAGCGTGGTCGGCGCGTCAGACATTATCTCTGTCAATTTCAAGCTCTTAAGATGAGGTAGTGGGTTGCTTGATAGTATTCGAGGGATTGGATCGATGGGTCCTTCCAGATGCAGGTATTCAAGAAGCGGGGTCTTGAGCCCGAGCCAAGGTTCCGTGCGATAGAGCGTTAGACGACGCAGACTTGGTAGGAGGAGCACATCGAAGCAAGGATCCGCTATTCCCTGGATAGGGCCGATCGCGCATTCCATCAAGTTAACCGCCCGAGGCAGACTTGTGAAGAGGTAGCTCTGAGAAGGGCATAGGCGAAGCAGTGTTAGTTGTGGCCAGGGCAGCTCAAGCTGCGGGGATGGAGAACGGAAGCCATCATCTGTGAGAAGGACTTCCCGAAGAGCTGGTGCGGCAGCAAATATGGAGAGCAGTGCAACCGGCAACTCCGTCGTACGGAGGTAAGGGTGAAAGGCCAAGTGCCGAAGCTGAGCAAGCTGGGCGACAATCCCGGCGAGCGAGGCGAGGCTGTCGGAACTGTCTGCTGACCAGTATAGCCGAGCGATTTCCCAACGGTTGCTTTGCCTCACAATAGCGTCAAGGAGTCTCCTAATATGCGGAACGTGGCGATTCCCGTGACGGTGGACCCCCGGGCCAACAAAGAAATCGATAGTTAGAGGTGCATTGGCAGACAGACGAATCTGCGTTTCCAGCGGACACAGCGGATGTGCTTGGTCAGGAATAGGACTAATTGTATTCACCCTGATATGCGACCATAGAAGGGCATTGCCCCGCGCAACAGCCCTCCAGTTGCGCGAGACATGGCAAAGCAACCACGGGGCGACAGACGCGACGCGGGCACCGACTCTGCGGGTATGCGGAAGCGTTAAGCGAAAAATCTCTCCCAGAATCTCAGGAGGAATACGCCTGACAACCGAAAGTACCGACGCATGGGCGAGGATATCGACCTCGACAGAGTCAATGGCTTTTTCCAGAGCCTTCAGTTCATCCTCTAGGTCGGCTAGCTGTGACCTAAGAGCGATAACTTCCTCGTGTATGGCCTCTTTCTTTGCTCTGAGCACAGCGAGGCTATCTAGGCGAGTTTCTAGGGATTTCTGGACAGCTGGGACGAGCGCTTCGCCAGGAGGATCGTTGCTCTTCAATAGCTCGTCCACTGCGGACAGATCTTCATCATTTGACATGGGCGACGACGCTACGTCGACAAAAAAGTGGATTTTGCGTGACGCGTCTAGATCCCTCAGATTCTCCTTGCCAGAACTTTGAAAGCATCGTCCATCCATTCAGCCCAGCAGTCATTCGAGTAGTGAGATATCTCACCAGATATCTTCGGTTCTGTGTATTTACTCGCAGGGAGTATAGTATCGACCAAGTCAGAAGAATCGAGAAGATGGCAGAGTTGGGGCACAGTCAGAAGCACAGCCAAGAGGTGGGGTTAGGGTTAGAGAGCGCTGGCTCCCAAATACTAAGCTTCGATGATCGATCCACCTATGAACGAAGAATCGTCATCCGAGATACAGCGGCGTGTTTAACTACAGTAGCAATACATGTTTCATGGCTTTTCATCTACGGAGGACTTGTGCGAATCAAACCCCGCACCATCGTCGTATTTTTCGTTGCGATGCCCTTCTCCCCTCGATCGACTTCTCCCCACCGAACGCGATCGCCGACGCGACAACGTCCCCCTCTCCACATCATCGACGCTCACCATACTACCCTCCGCCGTCCTAAACTCCGACTCCAAACTCGGCAGCCTCTGAATCGGTGTACCCCTCCGTTCAAGCACACGCCGCCGTCCACTCCCACTCCCACTGTCCCGCTCCATATCTTCGACATCCCCATCCATCCCCGTCCCCGTCCCACCCGCGGTCCCATGCGGCGTCCTCCCACTAACACTCTCCACCTTGGCAAACGCCATCCTCGACGCGGCAGGCGTCGGCGGCTCCTGCGCCTCAATCGCCCATCCAAGCCCCACCCGCGTGTGTATCAGTGCGTTCACGATGCCGACGACCTCCGGCGCGCTCTGGATGACGAGGAATTGGACGAGCGAGCGCATCCGGTAGGCTATGGTGAAGAAGACGGCCCATGATCTGTCGGGAAAGATGATTTCGCGAGGTGGGGGACGAGGAGTGGAGGAGGTACACACGCGTATATGGCAGCACTCTCGACTACGATGACGAGAAAGCCCTGCACGCTGGGTCAGTGGAGAGGCACGATATGCGGAGCAAGTAGACGCACGCGTAGATTCGATCCACCAATGGGACGCGCGATGTGCGTGATATTCCAGATCTTGATAGTAATGAGGACTGCCAGGAATGTGAGAAATACGAGAGAAGATCGAGACCGGGAAGCTCACCGGTGCTGTATACATTGGTCCTGAAGAACGTTCACACTGTCAGATCGACACGAAGGAAGGAAGGACAGAAGTACCAGCTTACACTAGCGTTAGAATGCAGTTACTCGTGAGCCAAGGATCCGAGAATATGTCTTCTCCAGACCCTTTCCTTGATGTCGTGTACATAGATACAGCGCTAGACGCTGTCGTAAGTCATCGCGTTAGCGGTGTACGAATCCTCTGAGAAGGACGCAGCTCACTGGTAAGTGCTACAAGGGTGCAGACCGGGAATATTATAACAGCAATCCGGTGTTCCCAAACAACCCATAGACGATGTATCTGCCAGAGGGGAGAAGGAGGATGAAATTCGGTCTTTCAGCACCAAGAAAAGTAAGAGACGCCAGAGAACATACGATAAGTGAATCCCCGATTAAGATAGATATCATCAAGAACCCTTCTTGTACAAGCTCCGTCATTTGCGTAGGATCCCCATAGAACTCTGCAGCAGCACCCCCATGCTGGAAATAGATGAAAGCCAAAAAGGCGCGACGAACAGTCGTAACCCAATGCTAACCACAGCACACCATTCAGTCAGTCAGTCGGCGTCCGAATAAGTGAAGGAGAAGGAAGGATCGACTCACAGCCGTAACCGCACAAAACAGCAACACCGCAGCGATAAACACCGTCGATCGAAAGATCGAGCGGGGGTTATGCCCACCCGGCGAATGCCTCGACCCGCGCCGGACCGCAAGATACCGCCCGACAAGGAGATACATCGAGGTCGAAAACAGCACCACAAACATGCCGTAGAACAACGTCGAGCATGTCAGCGCAGCCAGGTTCACTGCGAGAATGGTGGTGGCGGCGGTCATGGCGATGGGAGGGGGAAGGGGCGACGGTCCGTCCAGCCTTGCCTCGTTTTTTCGTGGGGTTCCTTAAAGGCGGCAGGTTATGTAAAATAGTTTTCCATGTTGATGTTCCATCTGTCCAAAGGGGAGATATCGAGGCAGGTGAGCGAGGCAGGAGGCAGATGAGATGCCTGACTGTGGCGTACGGAATGTAGATTGCCAAAACGGGGCAAATGCGGGGTAGTATGTCAGGAGAAAAAAGTCGAGGACAAGGCTGCTGCTTTCAAAGCTTCAGAAATGAAGATCGATGTACGTTGGCTGCAGCGAGAAACAACCGTACCTGAAGTTCCTCTCACCCAGAATCCACCACTCGATTATCCACCCCATTCCCTTCCGCATCCAAAGTCATCCATCTTCACGCAAACCCCACTGAAATTACCAGCTCATGCCCCAAACTCCCTGTGAGATCAACCGTCGTCGTCGTCGTTCCCGCGACGCCAGTCAACGCGGCACAGCAGGCGGATACAGAGTAGAGGCACGTTTGTCTGTCTAATCTAACTGTTAACAAGCGGATGAGAATCGGGACCTGGGAGACGGTGAATGATAGCGAGCGACGCACTTTATAGCAGCAAGCACGCATGTACGTTCTCCCATCCATGCCATTGGGCCCGGGTATAAGGGTGAGTGGTGGCCACGGCAAAAATCAAGGCTAGAGCGTCAAGAGATCGCCTTCCAGA